ATTAAAGGTAGGCCTACTCACCAAATTACAGTAGATTACATCAATTGTTGTGCCTTACTGTACCTAGATACGAGTACAGTAATCAGTTATCTTCATCTGTTTCCTGTTACTTGCCCAATACACACTTTCTAAATTATGTTCAATGTCCATATCAGAGAAATTCAGGAATGAAAATGACGTTACATACGAGGTTGATGCATTTGTGCATGTCGTACTAAGCAAGGTATAAAAACAGTTGCTTTATGAGGAATTAGTTCGTACCATTGAATATTGACGCAATAGACAAGGTGTCGCAGAAACCGATGTTGCTATAACCAAGTTTTACTGTATTTTACTTTCAGGTAGGTAAAATCTAGTGTGGTTTATACATGCACAAATATGGCAATTATCTTGTTTGTCATCCTTTGTGGCACCATTCTGATCTAGGTTTCTGTTATTTTTTCCTTACAGACCTTCCTTCATCCCAGACCTCCCACTACTCCATCTCACATTTGTCTTCTGTCGTTATGGACTCTGCAGTCTGCAGTCTATTTATGTCACTCTTGGTTCTGGTTCAAGTTTAAGTTCTGTCTTCCCACAGCCTCCACTCTTACATCTGTCTCCACAGTGTTTTGTGTTCATTCTGCATTCATTTCTGCTTGGTTAGTCTACCTCATTACTGTCTTCCAATACATTACTGAAAGATGTCCTGGTTATTCTCCCACTCTTTGTTAACTTTCCAGTTCTCTTGTAGATTTTTATGGCATTTCCTCTGAAGATGTTACTTTCTTATCCCTTATTCTGTCTGCTGGGTATTCCAATAAGGAATCTCTTTGGGTCATGTACCATGTACTACTCCCAATTATTAGGTATAGTATGGAACATTTATATAAAATTATTTTGCCTTCTTTCTAATATTTTATATTTTTGTAATTCATCAATATTACTTAATGAAATAATTAGTTACACTTAACTGGAGTGTGCATTACAAGTTGCCAAATCAATTAGTATCTGATTTTAGGCTTTCACAGTGGTTAACTGTTGAGGTCACTTCTGTTCTTGGGTTGTTAAACTGTGTGATTTTGGGCAATGTTGCTAACATTTTGGAGAAGCGTGTATCTCCACAACCTTGGCAATATAACTCACAGTCAAATTGTGTAACAACCTAAGAACAGCAGTATCATCAAATCAATTACTGTCCATTCATATTAGTGTAATGTTAACTCCACTTTACATGAAACTCAAACCAAACTTCATCAGATTTCAAAAAGATTTTTCACCATACAAAAATTTATGCACAGCATAAGATACAAAACTCACTGGGCTCTAAAACTTTTAATTGAAATATTTTTCATCGTTGTCCATGTTTAACAAACTGCCAAGAAACACAATTTCTGACTATGCACTGTGATATCTGTAGTTTGATTTACTTTACAACCATGAATTTATGTCTATAATAAATTAATGTCAGAGCCAATGAAGTATGAAAAATTACACAGAATTCCTGTGGAAAGAATTGGGTTTTCATACAGGCAACATTCCACTCTTCTGTTGTCAGTTCATGTGTGTTTTGGGTTGCAGGGCATTCAATATGAAGCACTGAGATATCTCACTGGAGAGTGTAACTATGGTGGACGAGTAACTGATGAGTGGGATCGTCGTACATTGAACACTATCCTGGCAAAGTTCTACTGCACTGATATTGTTGAAAAGGATGTATACTATCTCTCTCCTTCTGGTAAGTTTAAGCATTCAGATGATATTGCACTGTTAGGATGTCAGTTTGTGTGTGGACCAACAATACGTATGTACTGGGGAGGTATACCAGTGAGGTTGAATACAATTCTTTAGGTTACCAAAGCTATATATTAATGTAGATTTAAGTAATGATGCTAGCACCAAATTGAAGAACAAATGTGAGTGATGAATGGATAATGCTGTGGTGCTATCTGAGCATTTGTCTTCTAGGACTGGGGATAACCATGAAAAATCTCAACTCAAGTCACAGAAAAGCTGACCTCTGAACCAAAAAGATGGGACTTCCCCAGTAAGGAATAGAAATGATGAACATTTGAATATAAAATTTACATGACTACTTTTGTTGTGGGCCGAGGTTAACTAGACTGGATTTATCCCCAAGCAGACACAGTCTAGGAGTAAGCTTAATATTGACCTGATGGGCATGTTATGAAGCAAAGTTTAATTTGCATGTTAGCTGTTTGTAAAAATTAATATGAACAAGAATATTGTTTTGTGATACTAGGTGGTTCAAACATGACCGGGACTGATTTTTTTGTAAACAAGCTGCACTGCGCAGCAGCTGTGCGACCTTGAGAGAGTGAAGCCACAACCTCCACCCTCCCTCCTGTTAGGGTTAGAACCTGTTCACTCCTGTCTGGAAGTTGCTAGAGTGATGAGTGAACAGAAGGTACCGCGGAGCGTGGAACAATGCATTGTGATCAAATTCCTCATTGGAGAAAACGTCCCGTCCGCTGAAATTCACCACAGACTCCAACAACAGTATGGGGAAGAGTGTCTCTCACGGAACCATGTGTTTGAGTGGTGTAAGTGCTTCAGAGAGGGCAGAGAGCTTGTGGAGAATGAACCACATGATCGTCGGTCGTGAACATCTGTCACCAAGCCAAACATTGATTGTGCAGACGTGCTTTTCGTGAGAATAGGCATATCACTATCAAGGAACTTGGAGCAATGCTGTCCATCAGTGTTGGTAGTGTAGAAGACATCGTGAAATACCACCTGCACTATCACAAGGTGAATGCACGGAGTACCATGCACTTTGATGGACATGAACAAAATGCTGTGCACGCAAGCTGCCAGTCGTCTCCTACAGCAGTTTGAAGTTGAAGGTGATGCATTTTTGAAGTCTGTAGTGACCACCGATGAAACGCGGGTGCACTACTTCATTCCCGAGTCCCAGCAATCATCACGCGAGTGGCAGCATACCAGTTCTCCCAAACCCAAGAGAGCGTGGAGGAGCCGTTCGGCTGGAAGAGTGATGGCAACGTTCTTCTGGGACTGGCAGGGGGGTATCCATGTAGACTTTTTGACAGATGCCAGAACAGTCAATGCAGCTTATTACTCAGACCTCCTGGCAACAGATGTGAAGGAAAAGATCCGATCCAAGCAGAAGAGAGGTGGAAAGCGGGTAGCCTTCCTTCAAGACAATGCACGCCCCCATATGACCAAAACAACAATGGAAACCCTCCGGATATTGAAATGGAACCTTCTGACACATCCGCTGTACAGTCCCGATTTGGCACCAAGTGATTTCTACCTGTTTGGAAGGCTCAAATCAGACTTGCAAGGCATGTGGTTTGTTGACAACGACGCTGTCATCCAGAATGTTCAGGAGTGGATACGCCGCCAACCACAAAACTTTTTTGAAAAGGGTATCAGGATGCTTCCAGAACGTTGGAAAAAATATGTTGACTCTGGAGGGGAGTACGTTGAAGACTGACATGTGAAGTAAGTGTTTGGCAATTTTGGTTATAAAAACAAATCAGTCCCGGTCATATTTGAACCACCTTGTATGTTATACCAAATAATGTGGTACATCTACCAAACTATACTTTACTTACTTTACTTTATTTATTGCATTCCATCAATACATACAAGGTCAAACTAACCTATTGGATATAGAATCTGTCATGTTTAAACAAAATATACATTCATAACCATGTTTGAACATAAGATAATAAAATACACATTCCTAACCCATACAAGGACAAATGAAAACACTAAGAACCACTATTAATTAGTGCAGTCCTATACAATAATATAAACACTGATACAGGTGCAGTAGATACATAAGCTGTGTAATTATATTATCCATAGGAGAGACAAAATGTTCATTGAGAAGTTGATTTACAATAGTCATCAATACTATAAAAAGCATGTTCAGTGAGATAGCTTCTTAATAAAAGTTTGAACTCTTTAATATCTTTGGATAGCAATTTAATGTTTTGAGGGCAAGTAGTTATAAATCTTGCTACCTGAGAACAGCACTCCTTTCTGAACTATTGATAGATTTGTAGAAGGTAAATATAAATTGTGATTATAACGTGTGTTGATATCATGAATATCAATATTATCTATAAAATGATTTCTGTTCTTGACGACAAAAAGAAGGAGAAAATGTACTGAGACTGAAGTGGCAATATTTGTAATTTTTTAATAATCCGCGGCATGAATCAAGTCTACTCGAACCAGATGTAACTCTTATTATTCTTTTTTTTAATTTTGAAGATACTCTCATTATGAGGGGCATTACCCCAAAAGATAATACCATAGGACAACAAAGAATGTACATAGGAATAATAGATCATCCTCATTGATTCAAGTGACATAAACAGCTTTATTGCCCTTATTGCATATGACATCACAAACCAGAAGTCTGTAATCTTGACATTCACCACTGGGAGAAATTCAAATCACAAATACTTATATGAAATTTGACTGGAATTATCTAATTACGTTAGGAGTTGAAAGATTATAACAAAATGTTCATACTGATACTTCCTATCCAGTAGGTAACAGGACTCTTTATCATATGCAAATCTGCCGGAACTTGAAGCTATCTACTCACTTCCATTTAATGCCACAGTTAATAAATGTTTAGAACTTTACCTCCACTCTCCCATACATATTCACAGTTCAGTGTTTTAGCACAGGGAGAACATCTCTTTACCTTTGGTGGCAACTGACATGGGCCAATGTAACTCAGAATCAAAACCAACAACAACTTAACATGGATTTAGAACATCGGATTTCAGTGGAATCAGACAAATAAATAGATTAAGAGTTCAGAAATTTGAAAACAGAAATCCTTTTTGGATCTTGACACAATGACGCATCAGTTTGGCTTAAAATCAGATTTGTTTTTCAAATCGTCATTCTGTACTAAATTTTATAACAGTTTCTACAGTATGATCTAAGATGCTTAATGGAATCAGATAAATATTGCATGGATCAAGAAGCCTGTAGAGTGTGATTTGTTTGATGCAGATGTCTACTATGTTCCAAGAGGGAAGGAGCATGATTTATTCCTCAATTACACATGCACATTGCCATTCATCACTCACCCTGAAGTGTTTGGCATGCATGAGAATGCTGACATCAGGAAGGACCAGCAGGAGGCAGAGCAGCTGTTCAACAGCATGCTGCTGACACAGGTAGTTTTGATGCATGGTGATCTTGTATCGTTAGAGTAATATACCCATGGTGATTCCATGAACATTTTGGCAGTAACTTGGCAATTATACCAGTTATATTGGCCCACTGTCTCAGACATATTTAAAACATGAGTTAATTCTACTTTTTTCATTTCCTTTCACTGCTGCTCAGGACAGAACTGTAAGTACACAGGGTAAATGCCCTCTGAAAGAACATTCTTCTGAAATGAATAATCTGCTGCTGACTGAATTACAAACACATTCACAGATAGTGCAGCTGGTATTTTCTTCTCCTTCTCCCCTTCCCCCTCACACTCCTCATCTTCCCATCCATATATCTATTTAAATAAAAATGTAAATGTTCGTTTGTTCAAAACCTTAAATCCCTTAAAGTTCTTCACCGATTGCTTTGAAATTTTGACACAACGCTGCATTCGAATACGCGCGTTTTTATATACCTATTATACAGATGTCACACCTGTGACAGGTAAAAACATGCTTCTTTTGAAAAAACAGCGCCATCTGTTGGACGTAAAAGCAACACACGCTATACTAAATATTTTACGATTCCATTTCAGTGTTTCCGATTGCAGTGTTAAATTGGATTTCCATAGATTTCGATTTATTTTCATTTTGATTTAATTATTTCGTGTGACATTGCGTTAGATTGAGCTGTCATTTACCATAG